CCCCAAGTTGTTCCCAAAACCACAAGAAGCCTTCACAAAAGCCCAAGACGCCCCCAACAGCCCCCAAGAGGTCCCCACGGCCGCGCCAGTGTGCCCACCAACACGTTGCCGTGCTCGTCTCCTCGTTCGCGAAGGCGGGGTGAGCTGCGCCTCATCAGACGGAGAGCACGAGGATGATCTCTTTCATCAGCAACAGCCGAATTTTGGTCGCCCGCACCCTTTCATCCCCCCTTCCCCGTGCCGCTGCTGCAATCGCAATATGTACTCCACAGTGCAGTGGATTTATAGCAGTCGAGCGTGGTTTGGCCAAGTGCTCATTCTGGCTGGCCAGCCTCGCCCGCCGCATTATAGTATTTCTGTTTGCTTGATCAGCGCGCGTATGGCGCGTTGATTGGTGGTTGGTGCGTATCTGGCGAACACGCTGCGCCGCCGACAAAACAAAAGAGAACCCCAAGACAAACAAGAGGCGCCCGAGACGGCCCAAGCGGGCCCCAAGAGGGGTCCAAGCGGTGGAACTACAACTAACATTTCGAACCCTCCGCCACGAGCGGGCCCTCGAGGCCGCAGCAGGCACCAAAGAGGCCCCCAAAGGCCCCAACAGAGGCCCCGAGGGGCCCCCCCACGGCCCACGAGCGGACACAGGAAACTTCAGTATTCGCTCCACGAGGCGCTCGAGAAGCATGCCAAGAGACCCCGCGTTACAGGTATCTAAGAAGCCCTTGGCCCAAAACTCAGGTACGGGTGCAGTGTGGCCCGAAGGCCATCGATAAACAAGCAATTGGCATGGCGGGGGAGTTAGTTGGACTTGCGATTGACAGAATTCGCCCGGTACCATTCGCCGCTGGCTTGATAGTCTAAGGTCTCACAATGCAACGATGCATGATACCAGGGCGCCCGCGGAAAACAGCATCCCAAGCCACGCGTTGCGCTGCTGGCGTGGCTGCTTGTTACTTGCAGTTGTGGCTTTTATGCAATTCTTCACGCTACGCGCCATAGGGGCCCCGCGGCCCAGGGAGCGCGCCGGGGTCGCGCCAGGAGGCTAAAGACGCCCCCAGAGGGTGCCGAGAGAGCTCCTGGAGCTGTCCAAGAGGCTTCCCAGACAGCCCAAGAGCGCTCCAAGACTCCCAAGATGGCCCAAGAGGACCCCAAGACCGCATCAAGGCGGCCCAAGAGGCCCCCAAGAGGACTCTCAAGAGGTCCGCAGTCATTTGCGCTCAAGTGAGGCATCTTTGCTGAGCACATCGCTGTCAAAGCACATTTGCATCAAACAGACATCCAGATTCATACTTGGATTCAGTACCTTCAGAAATGACCCTCACGGGCTTTGCCACGTTGCTCATCACGGTCGTGGTGTTCATGGGGGGCATTCGCACCGCAACCGGTTTGCTGGCGGGTCTGCCTACGACGGACAGCCCGACTCCGTACCCGACTCCGTACCCGACTGGAACATCCGAAGACGATTGCATGGACGAAGATGGGTCTTTGGTCAACGAGGCTGGCCGTAACTGCATGGAGTTCAAGGGTCTTGGACGACGACGACATGGACTTTTCTGCGCAAGTAATGTGTTGTGCTTTCGGAGGTGGTATTCGCAATCATATAAACAGCCACGGCGATGAAGTAATGCAAAGGTCCAGTGACGCCACGCAAGCATATGCGTCGACCGTTGGTGCCTGTCGCGGAGGGGCAAGCCCATCAGGCAATGCAGGCTTAGTATACTACAGCCACCGGAACTGCGAAGCGCTATGCGATGCGGACTCAGGATGCCCAGGATATGTTCTCCCAGCTTCTGAGTCTAATTATAATTGGTGTGAGACACACACGTCGGTCGGTGCGACAGGCGATGGCCGAACATTGTATATGTGTTACATGAAGGGGGCCGCGGGGCCCAGCCTGACGCCTTATTACCCGACGCCTTACCCGATTCCGTACCCGACTCCGTACCCGGCTCTGTTCCCGACTCCGTCCCCGACTCCTAACCCGACTCCAGAGGCCGGTGCGGCCGGTGGGGCGGCGCAGGCGACTGGGGACCCTCGCCTCGCCAACGTGTTTGGGCAGCGGTTCGACATCCACAAGGAGGGATGGCACACGCTGGTGCGGGTTCCCCGGAGAGCCAAGAGCGGGGCCGCCTTGCTGAGCGTCGATGCGGAGGCGCGGCAGATGGGCGTGGCGTGCACTGACATGTACTTCGTGTCGGTGAACCTGACGGACAGATGGGTCGGCTCCCAGGGCCGCGCTTTCTGCGCCGGCTATGTTGCTGAGAAGGAGTCCCGGCGTTGGCTGCGATACGGCCAGGTGGAGTTGAAGGTGGTGCAGGGCCGCACTAAGAATGGCATCGTCTATCTGAACCTTTTCGTCCGCAATCTGAAATTCTTTACGCTTCGCGTATCCCCACCAGCCCATCTCAAAACAGCAACTCTTGCGAAGCATGCCGACAGTCGTGATTTTCAGGCGTGTTTCCGCCTGCCCCCGCATATCTCCCCTGTTCCTCCTTCCTCCCGCCTCCTTGTACATCCTCCTTGTGGTGGGAGCGGGAGAAGGACGAGGCGGAGGAGGAGGGAGAGAAAGCGCTCCTCGTGGTTTGAGTCGTTTGGGGTTTCTCGTCCTGGTGTGAGTCGTTCGGGCCCTTCTTCCTGGTGTGAGTCGTTCGGGCTCTTCGTGGTGTGAGTCGTTCGGGCTCTTCGTCCTGGTGTGAGTCGTTCGGGCTTCTCGTGGTGTGAGTTGTTCGGGCCCCTCGTCCTGGTGTGAGTCGTTCGGGCCCCTCCTCCTGGTGTGAGTCGTTCGGGCTCTCGTGGTGTGAGTCGTTCGGGGCCCTCGTCTGGTGTGAGTCGTTCGGGCTCCTCGTGGCGTGAGGCGTTCGGGCACCTCGTCCCCTTTTGGGGCGTCTTGGGGGCCTCTTGGCGGCCCCAGGGGCTTCTAGGAGCGTCTTGGGTGCCTTGGGGGAGCCTCTTCGGGCCTCTTGGGAGCCTCTTGGAGGCCGTTTGGGGCGTCTTGGGGGCCTCTTGGCGGCCCCAGGGGCTTCCAGGAGCGTCTTGGGTGCCTCGGGGGAGCCTCTTGGGGCCTCTTGGGGGCCTCTTGGGGGCATCTTGGGGGCCTCTTGGAGGCCTCTTGGGGGCCTCCTGGGGGCCTCTTGGGGCCATCTTGGGGCCTCTTGGTGCCTCCTGGGCGCTTCTTGGGGCCATCGTGGAGGGGATGGATCAAAGAAGAGGGGAGCTTCAATGAGCGCTGCCCCCTCAGAAGGGCAAAATGAGCCCAAACCCTTCGTAAAATCAATGATTTTGCCTTGAAGGAAGAGGGGAGCTGTAATGAGCGCTGCCCCCGTCAGAAGGCCAAAATGAGGCCAAAACCGTAGTAAAATCAATGATTCTGGCTTCAAAGAAGAGGAGAGCATTTGTTCTGGTCCCCCCCGTCGGGGCAAGAATCCTCGTGAGGGGTGTCGTTGTTTAGCCCTCCCAGGAGTCGAAAAGGACCCCCCTGACCACCCGCGAAAGGACCTCTCCAGGCCCAGGGGGAGGGGGTAGGGGGAGGGGTAAACCCCTCCCCGAAGGGGAAGGAGGGTTGAGAACAGAGCGGGCTCTCTAAACCACTCACGCCCAAAGGGCTGGTGGGATTTGTAGGCTACCCTGTGGGTGGGATTCTGGGCTTGGACGACCGCGCGGCCGCAGCTGATCCCAGTCTGAAGTGCCAAAAAAGAATCACTTTGGCCTCGGTGCCAGTCCAGACGAACGCCTCCACCGCAGTGGCATATTTGTAAGTGATGCCGTCGTGCAAGCACGTTTGCCTTTGTCATTGCAGTTAGTTGGACTTGCGATTGACCGAATTCGCCTGGTACCATTCGCCGATGATGATGATGATGATGATGATGATGATGATGATGATGATGATGATGATGATGATGATGATGATCCTGCCGATGAGGATAGTGATGATTATGATGATGATGTTGATGTTACTGCTGATGTTGACGATGATGATGACACTGTTGATGATGTCGATGGCGATGAGAATGACGATGCTGATGACGACCATGATGTTGATGGTAATGCTGTTGATGATGACGATTACGCCGATGACGATGATGATGCTGTTGATGCTGACGATATGATGATGACGACGGTGGTGATGCTAATGATGATGTTGCTATTGTTGGTGATGGTGATGATGGTTATGCTGCTGAGGTTCGCGATGCTGATGATGATGCTGATCAATGATGGTGATGATGATGAGAAGATGATGATGAGGATGATGGTGGTGATGATGATTATGATGATGGTGATGATACTGGTGGTTTTGCCGATGTCTCTACCGCTGATGATTATTATACTGCTCACGATGCTGACGACGCTGACGATGACGATGTCGATGATGATTAGGATGATACTGATGACGATGATGATGGCTTTGCTGTTGTTGATGTTGATGATGGCGATGCTGATCATGATGATGATGAGGATGATGAGGATGATGATTCATCATGATGGTGATGATGATGCTGGTGATGCTGATGATGATGCTGATGATGTTGGTGGTGATGGTGATGATGATGCCGCTACTTCTGCTGCTGATTTCGGCGGTGATTATGATGCTGATGATGATGATGATGATGATGCTGTTGATGTTGGTGATGATGCTGTTGATGTTGGTGATAGTGCCGATGATGATGCTGATGATGCTGATGCTGACGATGATGACGTTGATGATGATGACGATGATGATGATGATGATGATGATCCTGTTGATGATGATAATGATGATGATGGTGATGATGATGGTGATGGTGATGCTGATGATGATTTCGATGCTGATGATTATGATGATGATGCCCAGAGCCCCTCCTGTGATCTACCTTCCTCGTTGTTGTTGTTGTTGTTCCATATGCTTTCCTGTCTCATTTCAGCTATGCCATCGCTCTATCGGGCCGCCTGTTTATTATTTAGCTGCTTGTGGCAAGTCCTGCCACTGTGCTATTCTAACCGCTCGGCGGCTCTCGTTCGAGGGGGCACTGGAGACGGCACTCGCGAGGGATGAACAACATGATAGCAATGATGATGATGATGACGACGATGACGATGACGATGAAGTTGATGATGATGACGACGATGACGATGATGACGATGAGATGATGATGATGATGATGATGATGATGATGATGATGATGATGATGACGAAATCTATAATTGTTGCCCTCTCGCGTTCCCGCCTCCGATGAACCTCCAATGCTTCAAAATGGCCCCCAAGAGGCCCTCCGACAGGGTCCCGAGGGGCCCCCGAGGCTCCCCCAGAGGCCCCAAGTTGTTCCCAAAACTACGACCACGACTACGACCACGACCACGACCACGACCACGGCGACCACGACCACGACCACGACCACGACCACGACCACGACCACGACCACGACCACGACCACGACCACGACCACGACCACGACCACGACCACGACGACGACGACGACGACGACGACGACGACGACGACGACGACGACGACGACGACGACTGCGGCGAATGCGGCGTTTTCGGCCTCACTCCCTCCGCTCCTCCACCCCCTCCTCCCTCCCTCCTTTCCCCCCCCTCTCTTCCCTGCCTCCCCTCCTCCTCCCTCCTCCCTCCTTTCAATTACACAATATGACTACTACTCGCCTCTCTCCCTTGATTCTTTGCGGAGAATCTCGGACTCTCATTGCTGCGCTGCTTCGTTGGCCCCATGTTTTTCGAGTACACGGTCAGAGATGGGATTTACGCAATGGTAAGGGATGGAAGGGGGGGTAGGACGTCAGATACCACATTAGCACCTCGTTTGTCCGTCCCCCCTTTCTTTTCCTTTTTCGAACCCCTCCTCCCTCCTTCGTCCCCCCTCCCTGGCCGCGGCACAGGCCGCTCTCCAGCTTGAGGATGTTTTGTGGTTCCCACCTTTTCGGCTTCCCGACGCTCCAAGATAGCCGAAGAGGCTCCCGAGATCGCCCAAAGACAGCCCGAGAGGCTCCCAAGACGGCCCCAAGACAGCCCGAGAGGGACCCAAGCAGCCCAAGAGGCCTCCAAGACTGTCCAAGATAACCCCAAAACGGCTCCAAGAAGGGGCCCAGACAGGGAATCCGAACGGACCTTTCGAGCCTTCGGCCCCAAAAAGCCCTTAGGAGACTCCAAGAGGCGCTCCGGAGGCCCCCAAGACGCCGCCAGAAGACCTTCGAGAGGCCCCCACGAAGCCCCAAGAGGCCTCCAAGAGGCCCCCGAAAGGTCCCCAAGAGGCTCCCAAGAGTCCAAGCGGCCCCAAGAAGAAGCCACGAAGTCCCCACGAGGCCCCCGAAAGCTCTCCAAGAGGCCTCTGAAAGACTTCCACCACACATCCCAACAGGCATCCACCCAGGCATGGCGGCCTCGGGCCCACAACCCAAGTCCCCAAGTCCACAATGATGAGTATGCGGATGAGAGGAGCATGATGATGGTGATGACGATGACGACGACGATGATGATGATGACGGTGTTTATGTTGATGAGGATGATGATGGTGGTGATGGTGACGATGACTATGTTCCTAGCTAGAACCTGAGCGCGCGAAGCGCGCGTGGTTCTAGTATGTGTATATATATATATATATATATATATATATATATATCCCGGGGGACGAGGTCCCCTGGCCGAGCCCAAGGACCTCGGGGGCGCATGGGGGTGCAGGGCCCCCGGGGCCGCTCGGAACGGTTCCCGTTCGGCTCCAGAGGCCGCCAGGGCGGGCTCCAGCCCAGCCAAGACAGCCCGCGAGCGCTCCAACACGCGCCAGCATGGCTTCCAGACGAGCCCAGCGGCCACCAACACGCCCCAAGCGGCCTCCAAGACGCCTCCCAAGAGAGCCCCAAGAGGCAAACAACGTTGTTTTTTCTATGTTTTGTTTGTCTTCTCGCTTTTCCTGCTTTCCGACGCTCCAAGACGGCCCAAGAGGCCCCCAAGAGAGCCCCAGGACGGCCCAAGAGGCCCCTAAGCCGGCCCCAAGACGGCCCAAGAAGCCCCCAAAGGCGTCCCGAGATGGCCCAAAAGGTCCCCAGGACGGCCCAGGAGCCGCCCAAGACAGCTCCAGGAGGGCCCCGCCATGGCCTGAAGACTGCCTAAGCGAGCCCAGCGGACCTCCAACACGCGCCAGCATGGCCTCCAGACGAGGCCAGAAGCCACCAACACGCCCCAAGCGGCCTCCAAGAGGCCTCCCAAGGAGCCCCAAGAGGCCACAAACGTTGATTTGTCATAGGTTGTTTCGATGTTTTTTGCCTTCTCGCTTTTTCTGTTTTCCGACGCTCCCAGACGGCCCAAGAGGCACCCAAGACAGCCCCAGGACGGCCCAAGAGGCCCCTGAGCCGGCCCCAATACAGCCCAAGAGGTCCCCAAAGGCGTCCCATGATGGCCCAAGTGAGCCCCAAGACAACCCAGGAGCCGCTCAAGACAGCCCCAGGAGGGCCCCGACATGGCCTGACGACTGCCTAAAAGGCCAGCGAGCCTCCAACACGCGCCAGCATGGCCTC